AACCAGAGCAGAAACTCCAGGGACTGGCTTCTGTGATTCAGACAGGAGGGCAGAAGGGAGTCGATGAATGACAAACACACACTACTGGACTGTGGTTTAATCACACCCTCCGGCCGTAGCCAGTTTTGTTCAGTGATCAGAGCGTTGGCCTGCCGAGTGAAGAGTCCCAGGTTCAATTCCCAGTCAAGGGCATGTCACTGGGTTGTGGATTCGCTCCCCATCCCAGGTTGGGGTTTGTGAAGGAGGCAACCAGTTGATGTCTCTCTCACATCAATGTTTCTCTCTCTTTCTCTGCTCCTCCCTCCCTTTCACTCACTGGGAAAGATACCCTTGGGTGAAGACTTAAAAAATAATAATTAAACACCCTCTCTCTGAGAACTGGAGCATGCAAGGAAGCCTTCAGTTCCCAAAGCCCTCCTACCTTCTCTTCTTAGCCGACCGGGTGCGCAGCTCCTCCAGCCGGTCGGAGAAAAAGGCGACTTGCTCTCCTGTGTCACGGAGTCGTCGCTGAAGAAATCTGTCGGCAGGACCGCCGCCAGCTTCTGAGGAACCACAATGCCCAGGCTGTCGTACAGCTGCCCCAGCGTCTTCGGGATGGAGTCAATGTACCTGTGGGCAGGTCGGCTACATTGGAACAGCCGTCATGGTGGCCCCTCCATCCCCCCGTCGCCCTGCATGAGAAACGGTCCCTTCAGTTCCAGGAACCCGAAACGCCATACGCAGTCCTCAAACTTACAATGCCAGAATTTCTTCCAGAAACGTCGCCAGGTATGCCGAGTCCTCAGTTAAACACACCATGCGCAGCAAATCCGCCACCTGAAGGAGATTCTCAGATGACTACACGCCTCTGCGGGACGCTGAGAGCTTCTAGCACATTCCAACGGCCCCGAGCGATATACTTACCTCCTCCACCAGCTGCTCCACGGCATCTATGCTGTCACGTATCGACGGGCACTGCACACACATCTCCAAACGGAGAAACACCTGCAGCTGGCACCTTGAAAGGGAGAAACATCAGATCAGTGGTTCTCAACCTTCCTAATGCCGCGACCCTTTAATACAATTCCTCATGTTGTGGTGACCCCCAATTTCATTGTTACAGATTGAACATAATTAAAGCATAGTGACTAATCACAAAAACAATATGTAATTATCTATGTGTTTTCCGATGGTCTTAGGCAACCCCTGTGAAAGGGTCGTTCGACCTCCAAAGGGGTCGCGACCCACAGGTTGAGAACTGCTGCACTAGGTTATAGCTATTCTGAAGGTCACTAAACTTGAGGTCCCTTCCTCAGTCATAGATCTACTTATATACAAAACAGCAAAACGGAGAACTGTGGCTTTCTCTAAGGTTGGTGACCGCTGCTCTAACGACATGGTTATCAGGTAAACAGGTGACTCAAACTGCATTAGATTATACAGAATCGGGGGGGAGGGGTTAATGGGGGGGGTAAGGACACATTTGTAATACCTCACCTAATAAAGAATTAAAAAAAAAAAAAAAGAATCAGCCACAAAAGCCTCTTTGAGCAATTCGCCATCTGTTCTAAATGGCCACAAGCAAGTCTTAGAGTTTGTTTTGGAGCATTGGTTAAAAAACAAACAAAAAAAGGTTACTTACTCTCTGATTTTGTCCTCTTTATCCCGGGTTTTTCCCATGTCTTGTCTAAGACTTTTGCTAGTTTTTAAGAGGTTATTTTTGACTTGATGCAGGCAGTTCATCTGAAAATGCAAAAGTATCACATGGGAAAAGGTGACATTTCTTGTCATCATTTCTAATTTCTTCACGGCTGACAAATGCCAAAGGGAAGTACATTCCTTTACACACTCCCCCTTCTTTCACTTTATTTTTTAAAATATATTTTATTGATTTTTTACAGAGAGGAAGGGAGAGGGATAGAGAGTCAGAAACATCGATGAGAGAGAAACATCGATCAGCTGCCTCCTGCACACTCCCCACTGGGGATGTGCCCGCAACCAAGGCACATGCCCTTGACCGGAATCGAACCTGGGACCTTTCAGTCTGCAGGCTGGCGCTCTACCCACTGAGCCAAATGGTCAGGGCCCCTTCTTTCACTTTAATGAAAAAATGGTGAAATGAATGTTTTTCTTTTCTATCTTCAAGCCTGCAGATTTGACCTTTTTTTTTTAGTCCCCACCTGAGGATATTTTTTCCATTGCTTTTCAGAGAGAGAGGAAGGGGTGGAGGGAGAGAAAGAGAAATCCTGATGTGAGAGAGACACACTGACTACTTGCTTCCAGCCCAGGCCCCAACCAGGGATGGGGAGCAAACAAGCAACCCAGGTATGCACTCTTGACTAGGAATTGAACCCATGACCCTTCAGTGTGCAGGCCAACGCTCTGACCACTGGACCACACTGGCCAGGGCTTGACCTTCCTTAAAAGGAAGATTCCATACAGTAGTGACTGAGATGTCTACATACTATAAACAACCCCTGTTCACTTAAGAAGAGTCTGGCTTCACTAGCCTTGAATAGAAGCAATAACTGGTCTAAAACAGTGGCTTACAACATCCCTGTGCATAAGGGTCACGTAAGAAGCTTTTAGTATGTTGATACCCAGGTCGCAACATGCAGACATCTGCTTCACTGTGTCTGGAGGAAGGCAGGCATCAGGTACTAAAAATGTCCCACGTGCCCCAGACAGTGTTAATCAGTGGTTAGAGCGTTGGCCCGCACACCAAAGGGTCACGGATTCGAGTCCCAGCCAAGGGCACGTACCTGGGTTGCAGGTTTGCTCCCCAGTTGGGATGTGTGTGGGAGGCAACCAGTCAACGTGTCTCTCACACCGATGTGTCTCTCTTATGTTTTTCTGTCTCTCTTCCTCTCTCTGAAAACCAATGAAAAAAATGTCCTCAGGTGAGGATTTACAAAAAAACAAACAAGCAAAAACGTTGCAGGTGACTCTACAGTCCAGGCAGGACCGAAGACCACTGGCTTAATTCATGCGGCCCACACACAGCTCAGATAAGGACAGAGGAGAGCACATGGCATTACCGGCCTAACCCATGCCCTTCGTTTCTGCCTTGTTAGAAAGACCTGGAACTGAGCTCACCGCTCACCTCCTCGCTCCCTTCATCATGTATGAATCATGCCCTGCATACAAACATGTGAACCAAACCCGCCAATAAGCAATGATGGGTGCCAATAAGCATTCATCGGGACGCTCTTACCTCTAAGTCCTTGGTGCCTTTGGACTTGAGAAATGCTTTAATGGTTGAGATCATGTTCTGAGCACATGAATACAACATGGTTTCTCCTGTGGCCATAGTCTTCTGGTAATTTTCATGTATGTAAGATTGTAGCTCCTCTTCAGTTTTAAAATCTGTAAATAAATAAATAAATAAAGTTAAACTGAGGACTTCCAGTAAAGATGGCAGAGTGGGTAAAGGCTGTGCTTGCCTGAGGAATATGACTGAAATGCATAAAAATATCCTATATAATAAAAGCTTATTATGTTAAGTGTCCGATCCTCTGGTGACCAGTCGACTGTTCAACCAATTAAAGCTTAATATGCTAATGATATGCTAAGGTGCTCAACCCACTCGCTATGACATGTGCTGACCACCAGGGGGCAGACACTCCGACCAGTAGGTTAGCCTGCTGCTGGGATCTGGCCGATCAGGACTGTGCGAGATGGGCCTGAAACACCTTGGAGCCCTGCTGCGGTCCCTCCCTGGCCCCGATCTTACACCGGTAAGGTCCCTCGACCTGGCCTGCACCCTCTCGCAATCCAGGACCCCTGAGGGGATGTAAGAGAGCTGGTTTTGGCCTGATTCCGCAAGCCACTCCCCTCAGGAGGGTGCCAGAAGCAGGGCTCATGGCTGGTGAGTGCTGCTGCGGCATTGGCCTCTCCCGATCAGGGTAGGAATAAGTGGGAGCAGCAGATAGGAGCTGCAGGCGGCGTTGGACTGCGGGTTTCGGCCCCATCCCCGCAGGGTACCCAGAGAGACTACCCATTCACGAATTCGTGCACCGGGCCTCTAGTGAGGGTATATAAGGGTACACTGCACTCAGACACTGAATGCTGAAGTGAGGAGTACCTTTAGGTTTGGCGCTTCTTCGTGTCCTTCCTCTGTGCTCCAATCTACCCGCCGTTCTCCCGCCCGCTGTCTGCTGGGTCCCCCTGTCCCCAGAGGCCTCTGGACTGCCATCTGGATGCAGCTTCTGCGCCTTGACGTTCAGCCTCGCGACGTTCAACATCTTTAAGGAGCGGCACATGGTCTTCATCTTCTGCCGCACTGGCGTGCGAGGGACGCCTCCTACCAACCATCATAGGAGGGAAAGTAAAAGAAATTTTACCCCCGTGGACCAAGAACTACTTCAGTTACCAAAAAACCCCACTGCTTTAATTCTGCACTAAGAGCTACTTTTCCCACTTTATAATGCAAAAACTTTTCCTAGAAGCTTATGCTAACGAAATCACTAAAGAACAAATCAAATCATACGCATGATGTACACTACAGTATCATTTATAACAGGGGTCCTCAAACTTTTTAAACAGGGGGCCAGTTCACTGTCCCTCAGGCCGTTGGAGGGCTGGACTAAGTTTAAAAAAAAACTATGAACAAATTCCTATGCACACTGCACATATCTTATTTTGAAGTAAGAAAACAAAACAGGAACAAATACAATATTTGTATTTGCATGTGGTCCGCGGGCCATAGTTTGAGGACGAGCCCTGACATATAATGATAGCAATCGAAATATTCAACAACAAAAGAATTCTGTAAATTTTGTTAAGCTGTGAGGTGGAATAGTCACTGAAAAGGCGAGGTAGCAGATGAACAAATTAATCCTGTAAACGACATGCAAAGTTGTATTTAAACTTGTTATAACTAAAAATGAAAATGCTTTATTAAGAAGGTAAAATTGTGGCTCATTTTTTATTATTTTGTTAATCCTCACTGAAGTATAATTTTTCCATGGAATTTTAGAGTGGAAGAGAGGGTGGGAAGCTGGGAGGGAGGGAGAGAAAGAAATATCGACATGAGAAAGATTAGTTGGTTGCCTCCTGCACACACCCCTCAACCAGGGCCAGGGATCGAACCTGCAATCCAGGTACATGCCCCACCAGAATCAAACCTGAGGCCCTTCAGTGCACAGGCCAACACTCTAACCCCTGAGCCACACGGGCCAGGGCTGTGGCTGATATTTTAATCACTATCGTACTAACGTAATTATTTTGAAATTTGAAATAGAAGAATGTGTCCTTGTTTATTCGGTTACCATTTCAACCTCATTTTAGGGAGAATTAACTCTTTATAAAACATACAGCCTCAAAAAACACTCAAGAACCTCCTCGGTATGAGCGTACGTTTCTTTCTGCTGTCTTCCTGGCTAGCCACGGCGGGTTCCTCGCGAGACCTTCTCAGGTAGAGCTCGGCCAGGCGGCGGGTTAGCTCACTCTCAGTCTTGGAAGACTCCTCCTTAGTGGGCGAGGCAGCCTGCAGCAGCCTGCGAACAGTCAAGAAGGCTGGTGTAAAGCTGAAAGTCTGATTTCCCAAAATGCTTTAAAGACAACACGACAACAACAACAAAATGCCTCTGTTTATAAGCTAATCAGAGATGGCCCCACAACATGCCTTCAAAAGTATGCTTTCTCAGGAGGGAAATGGTCCCTTTTCTCACTTCCGCTTTGAACAAACTCAGAGGCAAAAGCTACCTGTTCACAGACCATTAATCGTTACACACAGTGTTGACTTTTTTTAACAAGATCTTCACTTCCCAGGGTACATGTTTGATTACGGTAACTACTTCACTTCTGCGCTTCCCTGGTTATTTTTTGCTCAGTGTCCATGCATTCAAGTGCAAGATGATGGAATGAGGAGAAATGGGAGTGAGGGGTGATTAGTTATGGAACACTTGTCCACCTAGACCAGTGGACGGCAAACTCATTAGTCAACAGAGCCACATATCAACAGTACAACGATTGAAATTTCTTTTGAGAGCCAAATATTTTAAGCTTAAACTATATAGGTAGGTACATTGTTATTAACTTAATTAGGGTGCTCCTAAGCTGGCCTTTGCTAAAAACGTCCTCCATCTGATGGAGGAACGTTCGCTGAGGTCAACCCCTTCCAAATCTCCCATCCACACTCATCTTGTAGACTTGTTTCGTCTATCTCCTTTCGTTCATCCTCTCTGTATGTCCACACCATCTCCACATACCTTTCTCAATCCTCGACACTACATCTTCTTTCACTCCACAACGTTCCCTAAAATTAACTTAATAAACTTTACTTAAAGTTTTAAGTCAACTTCGCACTGTACATGCGCGCCTGCACGTGATATTTTGTGGAAGAGCCACACTCAAGGGGCCAAAGAGCCGCATGTGGCTCGTGAGCTGCGGTTTGCTGACCTAGAGCTAACTACCAGGCACTAAGGAAATCACAAAAATGGGACAACTTTCAAAATGTATTACTTGTATTTCACTATCTTCCATTATCTGATATAATCTGATTTAAAAATAGGAGAAAGTTATGATGCCATTAACAAAAACTAAAACCATTTCCTCTAAGAACAGGAACAAGACAGGAATGTCTGCTTTCACCACCCTTGTTCAACATAATATTGAAAGTCCTAGCCACAGCAATCAGACAAG